AAAAAAAGGGCTGGGTGCGGTGGCTCACGCCTGTAATCCCAGCACTTTGGGAGGCCGAGGTGGGCGGATCCCTTGAGGTCGGGAGTTTGAGACCAGCCTGACTAACATAGAGAAACCCTGTTTCTATTAAAAATACAAAATTAGCCAGGCATGGTGGTGCGTGCCTGTAGTCCCAGCTACTTGGGAGGCTGAGGCAGGAGAATGGCGTGAACCCTAGAGGCGGAGCTTGCAGTGAGCCGAGATCACGCCACTGCACTCCAGCCTGGGCGACAGAGCGAGACTCCATCCCAAAAAAAAAAACAAAAAACAAAAAACAGCTAGGGCTTAAGCACCCTCGGCCAGTGGAAGAAAGGACTTGGTAGACACTGAATATCATTCTATTTTTCTACAGAATTAGAACTACACTGTAGAGCCAAAGGCCCAGGGCCAGCAGAAGAAAAAGACATATAGAAGACAGAGGGTTATATATCGCTCTTACTTTTCAAGAAGAATAATTAGCTAATAGCAGAAAGTCAATGAATCAACATGGCTGAATGAATCCAAGGGAAGTGAGTGGGATTAGGTAAAGGAGTCAAGGCTGACTACCTCTCTATCCTTGTCCTATTTTAAGCAGTGGCCAACAGAACTCCTAATTTAATCCTCCTTGCACTGGCCATTTCTGCCACCACCAATTCACAAAAGGTTCTTAAAGATCTGCTGATTTTAAAAAGAAAAGGTGAAAAGGAGATGAAGCAAGATTATAAGAGAACGTTTTTAGTTTCCTTCCTAAAGTATATGTAGGGAAAATAGAGAAATGAAAGAAAATTGATGAATTTTACAAAACAACATATTCAATTGGTAATGCAATTGCAAAATATAATTTTAAAAAAATTCTAGAGACTATCAATTGATCATTTACTGTCAAATACATACTGCTTTGCCATTCATAAACAATCTCACATAACCCTCACAATAACTACATGAGGTATTAGTCACATTTTATAGAGTATGAACTGAGGCTCAGAGAGGTTAAGTGATTCACTCAAGGTCAAAAAGTTGACAAGTGACAGAGTCTTAACTCAATCTGTGTTGCTGGCTTGGAGTCTAGTATTCTCTTCACTATGTCACAGCCATGATATCTCAGTTATAGAAATTCTATTTAGTGGATGAACCAGGAAAATGAGAATTTGGAGAGACAAAACCGGCTAACTCTCAACTAAAATCAGGAAGCAAAATGTTGTCCCAAACTTTTTAGGATTTAAAATCATCTTGCTAGCTCTTGGTGGACTCAAGGTAAAGAATTCCACCTTGGTAATTCTTGTACTTGTTACTAGAGAAAACACTTGGTAGAGCACTTTATATAGTGGATCCACAAAAAGTGTTTACAAAAGAGAATTATTTGGTGTATGAGTGGCAGCCTAGGTACATCAATGTGGCAGCTGCACTTTCTTCACTAGAGGTTCTTTAAAGACCTTTTCCACAACATTCTGATTTCAAATTATCCCGTTCCTTATATCACAAATACAAGATATATAGGCCAACTCATTTCTTTATTTCTCTCATTTAAAGTACAAACAAAACCCAACCCTTATACTTTTTCGAGCAGTGAAATGTATGCTGCAAATACTAAGAAAGTATATTGGGTAACAAACTGTAACACTGTTTGGTAAACATTAAGATCTAAAGAATAATTCAGCTACAGGCCCTGAAGACAGCCATCATTTAGGACTTTGTTTATCCTAAGCAAGGTAGGGTATTACCTTGGAACTGTCTCATGGGGAAGACTACTAGTTCTCCTTCTTTTAAAGTTTTAAGCATTATTTGTAGTTTATTTGGGGCCTCCTGACTAGCTGTCAACTATGGGCATTTTTAATCAGTATGTTAAACAATAATTAGTTTGGACATGTAGGAGTTCTTTCTTTGGGGAGCTGATTTCACTGTAAACAATATTTTATTAAACACTTTTTAAATAAAGGAGTGTCCACGATAGAGGATCCTCCCTCCCTTCCTGCATCTGTCATGAAGAAAATGTGCTGCTAAGTCACATATAAATGTTAACAAAGTATACAACCCAAATACATCAATAAGGGCTTTTGTCACGTCCCAAACAAGGGTCTCCAGCTCTATTAAGTGAAGAAAATTTTCCCAAAATTCAAAATTCTCAAACATCCTCAAACCTATTTAAAAGATCATTACACTGAACAAATTTTCCACTAGAACATGAAAGTGTTCATTGAAAAAAAGCTTTCCAAGTAGACTGTATTCATATATAGCAGCTCTCTATATACGTATATAATGATATATATGTGTGTGTATATATATCATTAAACATTTCTTGTGTCTATAGGAAAGCTACTAACTTTTAAAAAATCTCAGCATATAAATAGCTATTAAGACAATTCATAAACTCACACTATTCAACTGCATCTCAAAACATCAAAAGAGTGACAGTTGCACAAAATCTCCATGGAAATAACTGAAAACAGCAAAGGAAACAAAAATAACCCCTAAAATTGAAAGTATATACATACACACACAATTCATAATGTAAAGCAACTTGATAATGAGATAACTGCAGGACACTCTACAAACTATTAACCATTCAATTATACTTTCATTCTAGAGTAAAAACAAGAGTTTAAATCTCTTTGGTCCACACATTAGTACATTTAATGTATCCAAGTTATTTTCTCGTTAATTTTGGATTATGAATCGTGCTCCATATTACTTTACCATGATAACTTTCTTAAATCATAAAATAACCATATGTTAAAGTAAGTATTCCTTCTGTAGATCTGAAACAATTTCCACATGCTATTGGTAATTCCTCTAGAAGAATATGAATGCTTTAAATTATTCACAGAATAGCCAAAGTAAAGGAAGAACACAATTCAAGTCTGGCAGAAAAGAAAAAATCAGATCGACTTGGAAAAGTTATGCCTATATTTAATTTGTAAAAACAACAGGAATATAAAGAACACATGAAAACAATTTCAGGCTTGTACATAATAAAAATAATCAATTTTAAGATTTACTTCAAAGATCCATGCATAGTTGCTTATTATTTTTTTAAAACGAATTTCCAAGCCAGTGTTAGTAAATCCCCTAAATTGGTTTCCATACTGGGAAAAGTACTGCCTCTCCAACTTCTCATTGATAAGTTGTGGATATATTCTGCATCTGGCTAGAGAAAAAGTGGTACGGGTAACAAAGTTCTTAAATTTGAATGGAATATAACCAAGGCCTACCTTTACAGCAAATTGGATTAAACAGCAAGGCTACCAGGTTATTTTTTGATTATCCTTAACTTAACATTCTCTGCAATGTCTCCTTTGAGTTAGCACATTATAACTGTATCTGGTGCCAAAAAAAATCTCATTAGGAGACCAGTTCAACCCTACTTCCTATACTGTTACAATTACGTATTGCCAGAACCTCTTAAAATGTTTTATATAAAGGGCATTTCCACTTTTAACATACACCCTCACAGATTCTTCTAGTAAACTTAAATCATAACTTCCTATCATAAATCAAGAACTGAATAACTGAAATGAATTACTCAAATACACGTTCAGTACTGTATTGATATGCTGAGACTAACTGCCAAATTTTAAAATTACCTACTATATTTCCCAATTTTCACTTAGCAAAATTATGATGTTGCCACATGTCCAAAGTAAAAGTTTATTACTCTTCCTATATAACTTACTTGTTACTTATATCTACAAATGAGGTCTTTATTTCCAGAGCCTAATTTAGGCCACTCTCTAAAAACAGTTAATACTCCAGAATGAAAGACTGTTTATGTTTTGTCAAAAATCAAGATATATGCAACACGTAATATAATCCCACTGAGATACTAGTTATAAAGATGTTTTGTCCGTGAGATACAAGGCAAAAACTTTCTTTAGAAGGGTCAAAGAATGCAACATGCATTTCAGACTTTTTTCTTACAAAATTTTTAAGAAAATTTTCAAATTACATTTTTATGACACACAAACTACAATCAATGTGTATGACCCTTCAAGTTTCTGAATTTGTATAAACAGAATATGTATGCGTGAGGGAAGCTATTAAAAGGGTGTTAAGTTAGTGAAAAGTATGCACCCTATAGAGCTACTCTGAGTTCTTAAAACGGTTGAGCTAGTCTTCAGTTAAGAAGACTTATCTTCCACATCAATTAAATAACAATAATACCTAAACATATTGAAGCCCTAAATCCCAGAAACGCGCAACATTAAAAACCAAATAATTTCTCTCATATTAAAGAATTCAGTATTTAGCACTCATACGGGATTTAGTGTTACGGAACAAAAATCTTAGTACATTACCTGAATTCATGTCAAATATGTTCACAGCACTCAGCTACATCTACGCTTGCAAATTGTCACATGATCAATGTTAACAAAAAGAAAAGAGTTTGGCACATATATCAATACCTCGAAACGTCCCTGTAACTTAACACAACACTGTTAGGAACGATGATTTCAACACCAATGTTAACCTGATAGGCAGCTAAACAAGGTGCTTTTTCTTGTAACTTTACATAGTGTCTTAATGCACCTTGCCTGAGACAGAGGCACATAAGGTGCAGTGCGGTAGTGCAATCACTTGAACACCAGAGGGCAATCTTTCCACACAGCTCAAGGTCTTCCTTATGCTTTGACCTGCTCAGTCCACATTCTTGCACAATTTCATTTCCACTTGTTAACAACGCCGTTTTCAGGGAATCTATACATCTGTTTCCTTATGTGAAGTAAGACATTCCCACAGAAACCTCAAAGTGTAGCGAGGATCCTTGAAAAGGAGATGATTAATGTCAGTACAGTCTGTCCAACGCCCCATACCAGCGCTTCCAAAGGGGCCATGTTCTTCCCAGCTACTCTGTAAATGCCCGCTACTGCTGCACCTAAAGAGAAATGGGAGAAAAATGAAGGGACAGTCACTCGTTTTATAACACACTGCATGCTGCACCTTAAGAGCTCTTTTCATTTCATCAAAACTTAAGTCATCGTATTTTTTCATTTTATCCACTTTCTATGAGAAAGTTTCCCTGTGACTGGTGAAAGTTACACCTTACCATAATACACTTAGCCACTTATTTGAAAAACAGACTTTTCTATTGAACCAAAAGATATGTATTTATGGTATATGCTCCATACTTGATAGCAAATACATTCATAAAAATAATTCATTATTGCAACCTCTCACCTGGGCATTCAATTAGCTATACCTCTGTAGCATTTTTGTAAACATACAACATAACATACTGATAGTTACAAATGATAATGCAGAAAAATAACATAATTTAATGTAATTTCTAAATTAATATTTTAATATTAAAGGTATCTTTTTTGAATAATATGAATTCTTAAATGTCATGTAAAATATAATACCTGACTAATCCATCTCACAATTCTCACAATCTACCATATAAAATAATTCATTGCTTTTTAAATAAACCATCCAACTCTAAGTTATCTGGAGACTAGTATCTTGATGTCTAGTAAGAATAGAAAACGAACTTGACATCTATTCTAGTGAGGTTCCTTAGGTAATGTACACTTCCAAGAACGGGAGAATCTCAGCATATGAGGAACCTCAGTGCCCATCTGATTCAACATCTGATCTTCACAGACCATCCACAATGATGTGGTATCTAAGTGGCTAACTTTAAAAGCACATTTAGGAACCAAAAAGGAGGAACCATTTAAATTATAATACGCCATCTCACAGATGCAGATGGCCTGAAAACTATTTTTCTAGCAAAACTGTCTATATATCCTAAAATGGTTAGATAAAAGAACATAAGAAAAAGAAAAGAAGTTATCTGAAGATACTGAATTGACAATTACAATTAAGACTGAAACCTAGTCATGAAAATTCGAATATAATTTTTACTTGTCAACTTAGAAAAAAATTAGCTAAAGATTAATTCTTTGTACTTCACCCAAAATCTTCCAAATAAAAGTTATTGTATTGCTTTGTAAGAGATGGAAACAGGAAAAAAAAAATTATTAACCTAAGTCAAGGACTTCCATATACATGTTTTAAAATAAAAGGAAATTAAAATAGTGTACTTACCATATACTATGTATTTTGCTAGGAACTTTAAAAATATTTTCATATTTAAATATCATACCACCCCCTCAGTATTATAATCTAATTTAAAGATGAAAAAAACAGAGGTTCAGAGAGGTTCAGTTACTAGCCCCAGGAAATACAGCAAGTACAAGAGCTGGGATTTTTCAATCCAGGTTAGTATGGCTGTAAATCCCAAAATCATTCTATCACTTCATATTTATACTAAGTGAAAATGAGAACAAAGAATTCAGAAAATGATAAAGTAGCTAATAAGCATCTCAAAACTCCTAGTAGCACCAACATTTACTTAATCAAACAATAAAATCACTTGTATAATTGGTCACATATCCAAATTGTAGAACTGGATGACATTCTTTAAAAATATTAAGTATCCTACAACTTTGTTATCAGAAATTATGTTAAAATAAATTAGAGTAATACTCTTTCTCTTTGGATGCATCCTAGATTTATGTGACTATCTTCCATTTTAAAAACCACAATTTGGCCTCCATCCCTCTGATACTGTTTTCAATCATGATACACAAGAAGGGGAAAATCAAAGCAATTACTAGCTCAGGCTGCCCCGAAATGGAAAACAAATGTATCAATTCAAACGTTACCTGCTTACATAAGGTGAGGAGCATGGGTTCTGGAGCTAGACTCCTGGATTAAAATCCAAGCTCCACTACTTAGCAACTGTGTTACACTGGGCAATCACTTAGCCTCCCATGCCTTGCTTCCTCAACTGTAAAATGGGTGGGCATGAAGATTAAGAGATGACACTTGTCAAGTGCTTAAAATAGTGGATGATCCTAGTATGTACTCAACAAATTTTGGCTAGTAGTTGTCATAGTAGTAAAGGATAAAGATAATTCCAATCAGTGATTCAGCATTCAATAAATGGTGTTGGAACGACTGGTAGCCATTTCAGAAAAATAAATTTAGGTCCCTGCTTCACACCATTCCCGAAATAAATTTCAGATGGATTAAATAACTAAATGTTAAAAACAAAAGTACATATCTAAACTTTAAAATGTAAGATAATTATATTTATGATCCTAGGAAAAGAGATCTTCTTAAGACCACAAAAAAATAGTAAAACCCATACAGGTTTCACATCAAGGAACAGACTGGAAAGTATTTGCTATATGCAAAACAAACTGATGATTAGTATTTAGAAGATAAACACACACATACACATGCATAAACACATAATCAATACAGCACTTTTGTAACCAAACAAAAACAAATGTCCACCATCAGTTGGAGATAAACTATATGAAGTCCACACCATGAACCCATCCAATTTCAAAAGGAAAATATAGATCTGTATGAACTGAAATAAAAATAACTTAGACATATCATCTATGTAACAAAGAAAATAAAACATAAAACAATACGTATTCTCTACTAGTACATACATACATATGTATGTGTGTGTGTATGCATGTATGTATGTAAATATGTATGAGTGAATGTAATGCATCAACAAATATCTGGTGGATATATACCAAACTGAAAATAGGGCTTGCTTGTGAGAAGAGCACTAGTTTGAGAGTGTTGGTCAAAAGGGACTTTGCTTTATCTACAATGTTTTCAGTTTTATATAATGAATATAATCATATATTACTCACGTAATAAAATTTTTTAAATCTAACTTCTATACCTAACTTGCCTAAAATGTCCCTAAAATTCCAAGAAACTTTCATCTTAAATGTCAGGATATGAAAGATATTTCATTTTAAATGCCAGGATATCTTTCAATCCTATTTTTCAAACAAAAATATTGGTATATAATGAAAAAGTTAAATAAATTCTCGATTTAAAAAAGCAGGGCACAAATATATCATGGAATATAATAAGAAATAACTATATTCCTTGTATGCAGCTATAACTTATTCATTTTCACTGCCATACAGAATTCCAAGTATGAATATACCACAATTTATTTATCCATTCTGTGGCCAACAACATTTCTTTGTTTTCAGTCCCTTACAATCACAAACACTGCTCCTGTTCTTGTCCACGACCCCTAGCACACACATGCAATTAAGAGTTTCTCCATGATCCACGGGTAAAACCAGAATTGCTCAGCCCTGTGGTATGGGCCTTTTCCACTTGACTAGATAGTGCCAAATTATTTTTCCAAATTAGTTGCACCAATATATATTTCAGTTACTCCATATCCTCAGAGGCAGGTTATATCCATTTTTTTTTATTTTTTTGCCAATCTAGTGAGTAAGACATATTATCTATCTGATTAATTTATAAATCCTTGGCAATTAATGTGATTAAGTTTCTCTTCACATATTATTAACCATTAGGATTTCTACTTCTAGGAAATGCTTAAGTCCTTTATTCATTTTTCTACTGGGTTGTCTTTTTACTTAAGCCACAGGGTTTTTAAAAAATATATAGTCTAGATATTAATCTTTTTACAATTATATGAAGTTATATATTGTTTTAACAAGTATCCAGTTTGTTCTTTAGTTTTCACTCTCCTTAGGGTGTCTTGCTGAACAACAGCTAGCTGAAAGAATACATTAAGATCTTTATTTTCATGGTGATTTATGAGGCTAATATATGCAGGCATTTAAAGAAGTGGGATAGGGTGCTTGAAATAAATAATACATGTGGATCTGCCACTATGAACAGTGGCCAACACAATCAGACATAAGGAAAGATCCCAAATGAAGTGGAGAAAGCAATACTGCCAAGATGACTTGAAGGTGAGTAAAAGATACAAAACTACAAGGATGAAGAGGAATAGAAGAGTCATCAGTAGACAGAAAACACTGATACACAATATAAAAGTGCCTGCAAATGGGCATTCCAATAAAAAGTGATGTGATCTGCCCTGCGTATTTCCTGACAGAAAGCAAATGATAGCCTGTAGTCCTAGCGACTCAGGAGGCTGAGTTGGGAGGATCACTGGAGCTCAGAAGTTCAAGGGTACAGTGAGGTATGAGTGTGCCACTGCACTCCAGCCTGGGCAGCAGAGCCAGACCCTATCTCTAAAATGGAAAAAGAAAAAAAAAAGCAAGCATATCATAAAGGTTAAGTGTGAAGAGACATAAAGAGCTATGGGTAGAAAAACAGAAAAAAAATAGAACAAGGATAAGGGAATAATTAGTTTTAATAATATGTTCATTCTATCCGTTTGCACAGTTAGATCGAGGTTGGCAAACTACAATCCACAAATCTGGCCCACCCACCTATTTTGTACAGCATGTAGGCTAAGAATAGTTTTCACATTTTTAAAGTGATTTTCTAAAATCTAGAGAATAACATTATATGATACATGAAAATTATATGAAATTCTGATTGTAGTATTCACAAATAATGTTTTCTTGAAATACAGCTGCACTCATTTCTGACATTGAATTATCTTTTGCATCCCAAGAACAGCAATTCCTAAGGTTCTGGTGTAGTCCTCATCTTGTTCAGCAACAAGATTCCACTGACCTCTGCAAATAAGCTGTGCACAGCTTTTATTCTATTTTCTGCAGTAACTTGGATCAAATATGAACTAGTTGTTCTTGAAAGTTTGGTAGAATTCTCCTGTAAACCTCTTTGGGCCTGGAGTTTTTTTGAAAGAAGGGTCTTTAATATTGCAATTGGCAAAAATAATTATTTTCCTATTCATATTTTCTATTTCCACTTATGTCAATTTTGACATTTTATATTTAGGTACAGCTGTTCATAAAACTATTTTATTATTATAATTCTCTATCTTCATTACTGAGATTTAGTTATTTCTTCTATTATGCTCTGTATTTTACTCTTCTGCCTTAATCCTTTTTTCTTAGTTTGCCAGCAGTCTATTCATCTTATCTCTCCAAAGAACCAGTTTTTTGTTAATCTTTCATAAACCTGACTTACAAAGCTTAATAGTATTTCTCCACACCAATAAAACTAAACAATGTAATCAAAAGATATCCATGCACAATAGCCGTAACAGGTGTTTAGGAATTAACTTAATAAAAAACATACAAACTTCCTATTGAGAAAAGCATTTTTAAACTCTAATAAGAGACATAAAAGATGATCTCAATAAATGGAGATACACTACATGTTCCTGGGTGATAAAATATGCCAATTCTTCCCAAATTATCCTCTATATTCAGTTAAATCCTAATAAAAATCATTATCATACTTTTTGAGTGATCCATAGACACAGTCTAAAATTTATATGAAAGAATAAAGCTCCATCAATAGCTATAAACTTTGAGAAAGGAAAGCAACAAGAGGGACCTATTCCTGACAGATATTAAGATATACCACAAAACTACTGGGATAAAAAAAAGTGACCCTTCTATAAGAATAGACAAAAAAAAAACCCAATGAATCAGAATAGAGTTCAGAGACAGATCCCTGCACTTTGAGAATGTAATATACAATAAAGGTGGCACTACAAATCAGTAAGGAAATGATGATTTTTTTAGTGTATGGTATGATAAAAACTGATTTACTATATGGCAGTGGGGGAAAAAACCACATAGAATCCTATCTAATACCTAAAACAAAGGTAGACTCTACATGGAGGATAAATTATGGCCTGAATGCCCGATGCCTTTTTTGTAAATGGAAATAAAGTTTTACTGAAACAGGCCATGTGCATTCATCTACGTATGTCTATGGCTGCTTTTGCACTACCTTGGCAGAACTCAATAATGTGACAGAGAGCAGTAGCCTGTGAAATCTAAAATATTTATTACTTGGCCCTTTACAAAAATGCTTGCCAATTCCTGCTACAGGCGAATTAAAGACCTTAATACAAAAGGAAAAACTGTAAAATTAATGGAAGAAAATATATCAGAATATCTTTTGGCACTGGTATGGGGGATAACTTCTTTAATAAAATCTTTATGAACCATAAGGCAAAAACTCTTTAAGTCGATCACATCGAAATCAAGGATTTCTGCTCTGTAAATGATATCATGGATGAAGGTAACTGATAAAAGACTGAGATAAATTATTTGCAAAGTCCAAAACCAGAGGTCAATATCTCTAATATATAAAAATATCTGTAATTTAAAAAGGAAACAAGAATACCAAAAGAAAACCACAGAATATAAAGAAGTAATCTGTAGAAAAGAAAACCTAAATATATAATAAACATAGGAAGAGATGCTCAAACTCATTAATAATCACAGAAATGCAAATTAAACCAACAATGAGAACTTACTTTACACCTTTAGACTGGCTAAAATTAAACAGCTAAAATTAGACATTATATAGAAACAAGTTTCTCCCAATTTTGGTATTAACTAAAAATACTATATGAAAAATCACTCTGGTTTCAAAATAAAATTTAAGAAGTAGCAAAATATAATGAACATGTAACTATATTTAGTCAGCAGCATCTTATTGAATATAGATATTTGGCAATCAATAACTGAAGATACAGCTATGAGTGCACTAGTATTCATAACTTGTATTAAGAAAATAAATATCACTACTCACATTGGCTAGTTTTCCTAACTCACCTGTTTGCAGGTCAGATAATTAGCCAGAAAAAAATTAAATGTTTTATTGCTAATACACACACACATTTTTACTTGAAATTGTGTCAGACTTATATTTTTAAGGATTTAAAAATATAACACTGCAGTTTCTAAAATCACTGGCTTACTTTATTCTTGACTGAATTGCAAATGGGTTACATATACACACATATCATCAGAGATAAATGGAAGAATTCAATTTCTCATGCTCTCTTTAAAGTTTTACAGTAATATATGCAAATAAATACATATATACACACACACATACCACTTAAACTTCCAAACAAGCTGCTCCTTCTTCCTTCTCCTCTGTTAATGGTTCCACAATTACAACAGTGGCCATGTCAAAAACTACTGGCAGCCCCTTTCATATCTCTTTGTATGCCACCACAATTAATAACTAATTTAGATTTTTTGTCCTTTGTATAGTTCTTACATTAACTCCTTCCTTCCCAACCTACGGCCATTATTGTAGTTCAGAACCTGGCCTCAAGTATAGATTACAGTTAATGTCTCTTAATTCCTCCTCCTTCTTCTTTATTCTCTCTCCCTATCCCCTCTTCTTTATTTCCTTTCCTCCCTCTCTTCCTCTCTCACTCCTCCTATCCATCCAACCTATATGTTTTGAGTATAAATTATGTTCTAGGTACTGTTTTATTTTTCGGGATCGAGCAGTGATGAAGACAGACCAGGTCCCTGCTCTTTCAGGGTTTTCTCTTGCTTCTATACATTAATTCTGTATTCAATTATAAAACAAAATTTACCACTGAACTGCTTTGTCCCTTGCCAACGGCATTCAAAAGTATCCATTTGTTTTCCATGACCTGCAGGATAAAAGCCCAAACTTCCCAGACAGCTTTCCAAGGCCCTCTGGAATCTGGCTCTGTTCTACCTTTCCTATGTGCTTTAGCTAAACCTGAGTACCTGTTTAAAACCCTGTCTATGACAAAGCATATGAGGTACCATTCATATCATCAAATTACAGGTTGAATGCAGAAACAACAAAAACAATTATAAAAACTTAACACAAGATAACACAGAAAAAAACAGCAACTGAAGAATAAGAAAACAGACTCCTCCCCATTTCCCACAAGTATTTTATGGTTGCCTTATTAGTGCCTAGGACATACCCAGGGGCAGGGGAGCAGGGCTCTCCTCTCAAGACAAAGGATGTCAATCACTCTGGAAAGGATAAAGAAGGGAATCCCTTGCATCATAAAGATAAGGTTGCCTTCTTATCTCTGAGGCAAGAATCAACTAGAAAGGAAGAAGAAACTGTCAGAGAGTCCCAAAACAGATTCAGTGGTAGCAGTGAGCTGACCCTAACATATGGGAATAGGCCAGATGTGAAGGGCAACAGACACTTGTACTCTGCACTGGCAGTCACAGAATCGATAGCAGCACAGAGTGGCACCCGGTTTCTGGCACAACCACACTAAGCAAGCAGATGTGGCACACTCCAGTCTCAACAGCGTGTACACCTAAGCTCTGCTCAACCAGCAGCTGTAGAAATTGTTACAGCAGGTAAGTTGTCAGCAGTGGAGCAGGAGAGGAATGTCAGGTGACCATCAAGTGATGGTCCAGCAGTTGTAACACTAAAATGATAGTTGGTCACAGGCACCAGGGAAAGGCAATTTTCCAAAGGATAAAAACACTTGAAACTGGTAACCAGTAGCTTCCAATGAAATCTCAGGAAATGGGTAAATGGGCTCGAGCATGTGCATTAAGACAAAATGGTAGAGTATCAGCTTCGGGGGCATTCCACTGGAAAAGGGAAGAAAGCCTCAGATAAGCATGAATACAACTTCTTAAACACACTGCGCATGCTCGCCTCCCAAGTGTAAGGAGGGCACCACACATGCAGGTGGCTCACCCTAAAGGAAGAATGAAGGAAAAGGGGTGCAAGACACTGGAAATGGGCCAGCAAGTCGTAGGACCAAGGTTAAATGGGACACTTGACCTCCAAAGTGCCCGCCTGGGTCTCTTCCAAGTGTACTTTCCTTTCTTTCCTGCTCTAAAGCTTTGAAATTCCACTCCTGCTCTGAAACTTGCCTCGGTCTCTTTTTCTGTCTTACACCCCTCAGTCAAATTATTTCTTCTGAGGAGGCAAGAACTGAGGCTACTGCAGACCTGTATGGATTTGCTACTGGTAACTTGGATACCTTCTGCTGATAACAAAAACATAACTAATTCTTTGAAGTCAGGCTGGAGTTTGGGCCTAAGTACAGTGTTAAGCAGAGAAGGCCAGAGGGAATGAACCTGAAAACTTGTCTGAAAAAGCTCATGAGGCAGCACAGCAGGGAACCTGCAAAGCACTAGAGGACACTCTAGCACAGCTTATTTCTAGTAGGCCATAATAATGTGTGCATAAGAAGAAAGTGCAATTTTGTTGTGTAGTCACAGGCAGATGACAGTAAGGACCTCAGGGCTATACTTCTGCTTACGATAATTATCACTGACATATTTTTATGCCTTTCCTTTTTCCTAGAAAGTGAGCAACTTTAAAGCAGAAACTATAATGACTGTGAATTTTCCCATTGAACTGCCTTGCCTCTTGCCAACTGTTATGAATTTTTCTATTTCCCACAAAACCTTGCAAAAGGACTCTTCACATTGCAGAATTACAACTATCTGTTCAGTGAATAAATCAGCTCATCTTTATCTTCTAGGTGGAGTGTGTTAAGTGTTGACAAATAATCTACATAAAATATCTCACTAATGTTACATGTATAATAAGAATACAGCTACCAAAATGTCAAGTGCATACAAACTTACATCCTCAGACAAAACAAAATCAACTTACTGGTAATCATCGCTCCAGTTACAGAAGCCAGAAATCCAATGCTGACTGCAATGACAGAGATGACTCTTCCCTGCCTATGCCTCTGCAGCATCACAAACATCAACACTCCTGCAGCACCATGGACAAACAGGGAAGAGAAGAGAGCCCAGAGGAAGATCCAGTACCACATCTCTGAAAGGAAAAGCAAAGTGTTAATCATCTGTTGAAACACAACTTAGAAAATTCAGTTTAACACATAGTGAGCACCTATGGTTTGGGAGGTTACATGACATAATACATAGAAAAATGTCTCACACCGTGCCTGACACAAGCAGCACAGAATACATTATAAGGTTTACCATCATTGCTGACGCCTGATGGGGAAATATTCCTCCTATGGCTTCAAAAGGTTAACACTATATTCTAATTTTTTTCTAAATGTCCCTATTATATAGCTATCATCCATCAATTTCATATTAAACCTCTGATATATGTGTAAACTTCTTAGGATAAATTATAAAAGTTAATTCCTATTTGAAATAGAATCTTTTATTTTCTACCCTAAATAACAGTGTTAAGAATGTTTTTAACTACCTTCTAATTCTAATTCAAATCATTCCAGAAATCAGTCAATTATTTTTACCTTTTATTTTTAAGAATTTCAGGCATTTTCTCCTTGTGGCCCTGAACTTGGTATACTAAAAAATCAGTCAGATTTAAAAAAAAAAAAATCATTTGCCTCTAGTCATCTTAGTGCTCCTTACCGAGAACTTTTCAAGCTCCAATATTATCTCCCCAGTGTGACCTCAATCGACTGTTCACTGACATCTCGGCTTAGAGACAGTGGACAAGCGCACTTTTCATTCACTCTCCCACACTCATTCCCTTTCCTTCTGGCCACCTGACTGCCTCCCAGTCACTCCATATAGTTTCCACAGATGTCCCTGCACTGACTCCTTCTCCCTGACCATACTGTAGTGAGGTATGAAAGAAAGGCAAGAGATCCAAGCTGGGCCAATTGTCCCCTTCCCCTGGGACTTCTGGATTGGGGTCAACTGAGCGTCCTTGCTCTTTGGGTAGCTAAAGCTGAAAGGCTCAAAATTTGTGAAGTTACTTCATCATCGCATGATGAAAGCCACTGTACAAGAAAGAAAAAGATTCATCAAAGACAAGAGAGAATCAAGTCCCTTAATGAGTTATTTCTAAGGCCCTGACACATTACCATCCTTAGATTCAATGTCACATCCCAGTTCCCTTGTAATAAAATCCCTCTTTTTACTTAAACTATTCAGGTAAGGATTCTCTCACTGATACCTGAAAGAGCTGACTCTAAAATATTTAGATGTTACCTTGAGGGTCATCCTTGATATGCAAACATTCCATAATACAAAGTATCTCATCTGTGATTTGGGCTAGGTAGTCACTATCAATTGTAAAAGAAAAGTCAATAAAATAGTCATTAATAGAATTAAAATGGATGAATCAAAACCTATGTATCTAAATATCGTTAAATATGGATATACACTGTCGGTAGGAATGTAAAATGATACAGCTGCTGTGGAAAATAGTATGGAGGCTCCTCAAGAAGTTAAAAACAAAACTACCATATGATCCAACAATTCCACTTTCTGGGTATATACCCAAAAGAACTAAAAGCAGAATCTCAAAGAGATATTGGCACACCCATGTTTATCAGTATTATTCACAATAGCCAAGAGGTGACAGCAACTCAAGAGTCCCTGAATGGATAAACAAAACACAGTACACATACAATGGAAAAATTACTGAGTTTTAAAAGGGAAGGAAGGAAGTCCTGTCACATGCTACAACATGAATGAACCTTGAGGACATTATGCTAAGTGAAATAAACCATCACAAATGAATACCATATGATTTTTTTTTTTTTTTTTTTTTTTGAGGCAGAGTCTTGCTCCATCACCCAGGCTGGAGTGCGGTGGCATGACCATAGCTCACTGCAGCCTCCATCTCCTGGGATCAAGTGATCCTTCTGCCTCAGTCTTCCCAGTAGCTACAACTACACATGTGGGCCATAAAAATATTTTTTGTACAGACAGGATGTGCCCATGTTGCCCAGACTGATCTAGAACTCCTGGCCTCAAGTAATTCTCCTGCCTCAGCCTCGCAAAGTGCTGGGATTACAGGCGACAACCACCACACCTGGCCTCAAGTTGTAACCTTTAAAATCAACCAGTAACCATAACCAGTGAAGTGGCTTTCTACTGGTGTCTAAATGGGAGTCGTTTCTGGGACTGTGCCTTTAACTTGTGGGACTGGATGCTAACACCACCAGGTAGATGTCAGAACTGAATTGAACTGTAGGACACCCAGTTGGTATCCTAAATTGCTTGGTGTGGGGAAAAAAACCACACATCACTTGTCACAGAAGTGATCTGTGTGAGGGTGGAGAAAACAGTGAGTGCCTTTTTTTGGGGTGGAGGGGTGCCTGGAATGGAGTGATCTCAGCTCACTGCAACCTCCACCTCCTGGGTTCAAGCGATTCTCCTGCCTCAGCCTCCCAAGTAGTGGGGATTACAGGTGCCCGTCACCATGCCTGGCTAATTTTTGTATTTTTAGTAGAGAGAGGGTTTCACCACGTTAGCCAGGCTGGTCTCGAACTCCTGACCTCAGGTGATTCGCGCGCCTCAGCCTCCCAAAGTGCCAGGATTACAGGTGTGAGCCACCACGACCAGCCAACAGTGAGTGTGTTTCATCAGATATGTTTTTACCAATTTTTTTAAAAAGGTAAAAAATTTAAAAGCATGGATATAAATTTGAAAAATAATTAGGTCAAGACCACAAATGACTAAGAATTTTAAAACAAAACAAAAACTCCTTAAAAAGGAAGGAGGGTATGGTTATTAAAAAGCAACTGAGCGATCTCTGTGGTAATGGATTTCTTCTTTGACTACAGTGGTGGATATACATGTAAGTGATACAATTGTATAGAGCTAAATACATATAGAGAAGAGTACAAGTGTACATGAAATACTAGCAAAACCTGGATAAGGTTGGTGGATTGCATCAATGTCAATATCCTGGTTGATATATTATACTGTGGATTTCTGAGATGTTCCTATTGGGCAAACTGGATAAAGAGTACATAAGCTCTCTACGTGTTGGTTCTTACAACTGCGATTCTTATAATCTCAAAATAAAAAGTTTAATTTTAAAAAACGAAAGAGGGAATAGAAAGATTTTTTTAAAAATCAGCTTTACCCTGCCAAATTCTTAAGAATTGGCACATAGAATGGACTCAGGCAATTTGAAATTATTTCAAAGAAGAGACATCTGATATATTTTACAGTGTGTGTTCAGCTACCATGCATGCTTCTCAATGGCATAAGAGATAGAAGCTAGTGATTACGGAAAAACAGACAGTGTTTGCCTTTTAGAGGCTTTTCTCTTCCAGCATTCAGGCAAACAGTATTTCAGACCATCACTCTCAAACACATGGCTTCAATTTATAATAAATACATTAAAATTTAAAAACCCCAACTTGCTCAGAAGATATCTGCATATTGAAAGATACAGTTTTCCTAAGTGAACCTAATAAAGTAAAAATATAAGGGAGTATAATATGGGGGTGTATATTTTCATCAAGGGAGCTCTCTCAATTTACCCTGAGACAAGGAAAGGCTCTGCAACAACCACAGACTCTTCGGTACAAAAGTCAACAATCCACCTTGTACCTCGAGCCCATTTAAAAAGTTCTTATAATACAATTAGAGGAAATAATTTATTGACTATATTTAACACTATGAACAGGAGATTATCTGACATTATAAAAAAAGTAGTGTTGTTTGACTACTGAATATGTAGCTATGATCTCAACAATAAATCTACCTAATAGAAGGCAAAGTAAAATTTCAGTTTAATGTTTTATAAAAACCAAAGGCATAAAAATAATCATAAAATTAAAACAGAATCTTAAATGGTCCTCCAATGACCAGTCCAAGATTATTCCTTCATCAGACTCAACATCAACAAAGTACCCTAATGTCAGATTTACTTTTACATTTCTTTCTCTCTTTTAAAAAATCATACTCTTTATGATGGAAAAAATGGACTATCTTGAGAATATTTACAGTTATGTTAGGTTTTGTGTTATTACTATTATTTTGAATTACCTGACAGATCAACATAACCTCCTGAGTGAAGAGGGCCTCTAAAGATTTTGATCAACTCTGGATAAGCAAGACTGTCTAAAGCCCAATCACTATTGGCAAATACATGAAACCTACTGGATTAGTTCAGGTGAAGAGAACTGCAGGATCCTAAGGACTACAGCAAAAGCAGATGCCTAAGATCCTGGGAAGAAGAACACCTAGTAAAAAGACAGGAGTGGACTATCACAGCCTTTCCTTAAACTGTCTATGCTAAAGTGAACACCCAGAGGCTCACAGTTTTCTCTCTCCACCCATACCCCACCTCATCCAAGCTTCTAGCAAATGGGTGACAATGAGGGGAGGAAGCCAGAGAGACTCTGCTAGTGCTGAAAAAAACACAAAACAAACATTTAAGAAATGTAATACACAAAACAACAGAAACGTTGAAACATCTCATGCCTATAATCACCATGATTCTCTGGAAGGGAATATCCCTTCTTTCTGAACATCTCTCAGAAATTCCTTTTGTAACAATTCCCCACTCAAGACTATCTACAATCCTCACCTTAGACTAATTTTGTCTGGATTGTTGCAGTGCGTTACTTTTTGGTGGGGTGAAAGGCAGCAGAGTTATGATCTGTTCCAGCCTCCAAACAATACTAGAAATAGCTCTGCTCCCAATCTGTAACTTTCATCAGCTCTGGTTGCCAAGCCACTAAAAAATTATCTTCTGTGCTTTTGTTTTTAATCCTTCGACAACATTATTTATGAGAAATGAATTTCTCTAGATGTCTAAAAAATACTGAGTAAAAACAAGTTAAAGAATGGTACGTATTGTATAATCCTATTTGTTTAAAAAAGTACATTTTCATATCTGTACAGAAAACGTATAATCAAATGGAAGAATACCTAACAATGGCTATCTTTTAGAGATATGAGATGAACGACACTATTTTATACATTATTTACTATTTTAAACAACCAGTCTGAAATATTTTACACACATTTTTACTGCAAATATAATATTTTTAGAAATTAGCTTTTCATTTTTTTTTTTTTTTAAAG